GGATTTATATTTTGTTTTCATTCTGTAAATATTTATAGTATATCTGTTATACAAGGTTTTTGCTTTGAAACTTCGTTCTCCTTATAAAAAAAAGAATCGTAATGGGGTGCGATGAAGAGATCAGTTCACGTCTGGAACCCTGTTCCTACAAAAATCCCTTTATTCTCATAAACTATTTGTTTTAAATGTAATTTATTATAAATCCAATTCGTTATTTAAATTCCACATATGTACTACATTTCACCTCTGTACGCGCCACTGTTTATTGTTCCCTGCTCTACGATCAAGCTCGCCAGGTTAGTATTTGACGTATAACCGACCACTTCGTACACTCGATGCACCTGGCCGACTACAGCTAGTACCAGAACACAGTGCGTATGCGGCGGTATTTCAGATTTTACATTCAATTTCATTTTAAATTTGAAATGGTTCATCTTACGCCTCCTAAAAATGATGACACGATTTTCCTTTGATAAAAGGCCGATAATTTTTTGCTCTACTTTGCATCGAATACGATCCTACTATAGGTCAATGTTTTTGCGCTATGTTAAACAGGACCGGCATTAACATTTTGTCACTTGTAATTTTTTGGAAAATATTTTTGATACTCAAATCTCATAATCGCCTTATGGTAGCGTAATAAGAAAAACATTAAAGCTGCAGTATGCTGCTCAGTTTTGATCAATTTACGATAGTTCCAACAAGCCAACAACAATTTCTTGCAAATACTCACGTCTCGCTTCATTTCAATGTTATGTAAAAAATTTATAACTGCGAACATTGTAGTAAAACAAGCTGATAATAACGCTGATGTCCTTATAGGTGGCGCGGAAATGTGTGCATATCATGTAGAGCAGGGATGGGCGGGTAGACAATGTCGACGTAGACAATGCAATTGTCTACGCGTAGACAATGATCTAGATGAAGACTTAATTTGGAAGAGTCGACAATGTAGACAATGTCGACAATGTCAACAATTAAAAAACTCTCAAAACTAGAAAAAGGTGTGGTAGGTATGTACCTCAAAAAAAGAGTTTCGTAAGGCTGTAACTCGTGATTCTTGCAAAAAAAGAAAAATTGAAAATTTGAAATTTGAAAAGTACCTACCTATCAGTATCACAACCATCTATAAAAAAATGTATAAACCGAGTACAAAAGATCAAACAATATCTGCCGAGAATTCACGAGAAAAAAAAAGTGTCTCGCTTGATGCTCCTCGATAGTTTTAGGTCAGGTCAGATTGACCAAAATTTTTTTTTTGCTATAAAATCTCTAAATAAAGATAATGTCGCATATATTCTTTAATGAAAATTTTATCATTTTTAAAGTCAGCAACAATTTGGAATATTTGATTAAGTTTTAAGAACACTTTGTGTAGATATTTTAGTTTAGTTAGAACACGTTAATTTTATTTTTTCTAAAGGTGTTAGAGTTACAGAATTTAATAAAAAAAAATTTTATTAAATATTTCTACTAATTTATAATATAGGTACCCTTTCAAAATAATTTTTGTTTCAATCCTAGATCATATTATGTAAATATATAAGATCTAAGATTTTAATACAAATCATATAGAGCTGAGCTTTTCAATAAACGATAAATGGTAACATATTTCTGTAAATATTTGCAGAGGCACAAGATAATGTTTTTTATTGCATTTTCTCAAACTAAATATTATGTGTATTTATTGATATATGTACCTCTATACATATACGAGTATTATATAATATATTCCCTAGTTTTCACTTAATGAGGTCACGAATGGAGACTAAAATTTTAAAATTAAATAAACTGTTTTTTACTGACTGTCATAATTTATATATTTATATAATTTTTTTTATAATAATTTTTGTTTTAAAAAATATAAAAAAATATATATTAAGTATACAAAAATGAAAGTTTTCACTTTCATTTCGATTGAAAGAAAATACCCCATTATAAAAATACATAATTAAATTAAATTAAACTTTATTCTTTAAAATTGTTTAACAAGTGTATAATAACATAATCATCAACATTATTGGTAGTTAAAAAAATAACGAGAAATAAATAATGTATTCAAAACTTAAAAAAAATAGGTTGCAGTCAGAAGATTGGTTGAAGGTTTAATTTATAGAACATTTTGTATTATTTAATTGTCAAGCTTTCAAGTCTTTTAACTTGAGATTAAATTATAAAACTGTGAAATTTTAACCAATTTAAAAATTATTCTAAAATTAACACATAATTGTCAAGAATGTCAAGTCACCATAAATTGTCAAATGTTTGTATAAAAGAATTGATTTACTTAGCAGGACTGAATAATATTAAGCGTTAGCTACCAAGAAAATTTTAATTCAGACACAGTGTATTCTTTAAGCAAACCCTCAACCAACTTTCTGACTTCAACCCTAAATTAACTTGATATTTTTTTGGTCAATTTCTATGTCTATGTTCTATGTTTACGTCCGCTCATTTTATGTTTATGTAAAAACAGCCAAACAGAAAAAGTTGAGTGATGAATTGAGTACAGCACAAAATAGATCATACGTAAATGTAACGCAAATATAATATAGGTTAGATTAAACTGAAATTAGAGCGCAAACTCCGCTTTGTCTACATTGTCTACATAGTCTACGTTGTTTACATAGTCTACGCGAAGTCTACACGTAGACGTCGACAATTAAAGTCGACGCGTAAACGCCCATCCCTGATGTAGAGTGCGACTTCTTCAACTTTTGAAATGGTGATATCTCAGGAATGGTGATTCGTAGGAAAAATATTGGAGCAATTTTTGTAGACAATTGCATGATCTACAACTTTTGTCTAATCTATTTTTATGATAACACTTACCGTTTAGATATTTGCGACCTTTGACCTTGAATACATTTTCCAGCACGCATGGGATCGGTGGGGACTTTTGACATTGTACTTATAGTAATGTACAAAAAACCTTTACCAATATTTAGCTCTGTACGAATTATTGTATATTGAAATGTCTATTTTGAAAGAATTATAAAGTAGGAATGTTATGTTAGCAGATATGTTAATCTCAATATTAAGTTTAAATCCTCTCGTAAATAAATAAGTAAACTTAAGTTACGTTTATCTGTTTATAGATAGAAAAATAGTTTTTCTTTAATGCTTAATGGTAAATAAATATGCCTATATTTATTAAATTAAATTATTGCTTATTGCCAAATATAGAGTGTCTGGAACATGGAACTTCCCGCAGATTCTAGAGGTCAAAATATAAAGAATTAACTAAACTTAACGGTAAACCTATTTAATCGAATTAATTTATATTTATTTTACATTTAAGTTATGGAAAGAATATTCCCTCTGTTAAATTTGCTCATCAGCAAAAATTTGATTTAGCTGATAATAAATATGAAGTAATGCTTTACAGTATTCAGAAACTTGTAAAATCGAACCTGTTGAATGTTCTTTCACGAAAATTGTTGGAAATGGTAACTATTTTCAGTGATACATAATGCAAAAAAAATTATAATCACGTCTATTTTATTTTTTACTCATTCTGCAAATTATGAGCAATAGCGTTTCTCATCGAATTTATGTAATTTTGTGTTCCTCAAATAATAATCACAAAGATTCATATTTGATAGTCACAATTTTCAGGACGGGAGAAATCTGAGTGCAATTATTTGTTTTTTCGTTTCACTGAATTATGCGTTACGTTGCTAAAACAAATACAATAATTTCCATGATATAAGATTTGATTACAAATTTCTGAAATCCACAAAAAATATTACCTTTTTTATAGATAAATCATATTTTTTATGACAATTAAATCAGATTTATATTAATTATGCCAAAAACCCGTTAGGAATACAAAAAAAATTATATAAGACATTTTTGACATACCTACTTAACTCGAATTTGAATTTAAATTTTTTGTGCGATTTATTGCAATTTTTGTTAATTTGCAATAAATGGGATGTATGTAACATCTGCATATAATATATGTATGAAAATTTGGTGCGCATAACATATACCGTTCAGTTAACGATCTACGCATCAAATTGCAAGAAATTTGGGATAGCACGCTTTCTGAAGAGTGCGCTAAACTGGTAGATAAATGCATGCTAGAATTAAAGGTGATGTAACACAATTTTGTTGAAACGGCCAAACTATTGTGAACTTAAACTTACTTTACTTTAAATTAATTTTATTTAAATATATTAGTAGTAAAACTATACCTGACTAAACTATTATGAATCTGGGCTCATATACTAGGATCTGACAACCGATTATTAAACCGCATGGTCGGTCCCTGAGCTGACGTTAGCTCACTGTCAATGCTGGGAGTTCTGTGCCAGATTGGTAGAAATAGTATTTTGAAATTACGCCCCTCTATAAATTGCGAGCGGGTTGTGGTGCGAAAATCATTTTAATTAATTGTAACCCTAAAACCGTTTTGTAGTTAGATTCTCTAATTTTTGGACTTATCCTGCGCATTTGGTAGATGAATATGCTTATATTTACCACTGAAATAAATTACTTCTCACTTGACATTAAATAAGGTATGTGGCCCCTACCGAAATTTGGTATCATGGATTTGTGGCGGCATGTTACAATTACATTTTTATATTTAATTAGCAATAAATTTGTTTTTGTAATTAATATCACATTAAGTATAAAATAATTAATATCACATTATATTAAGCTGTATTTAGAGTAAATGAGATTAGGGATAAGTACATCATTAAATAGAGCTTCAGGTACCTAACTTGTTTTACCTGGATTAGAAATAGATACACGACCGAGAGGGCAAAATTTATCTTAGAACAGGCAAAGAAGCGACACTATCAGTATGGGTTAAGTCTTGCTCCCGATCGGTCGGGCTGTCCTGTAAAGAAGCGGTCAATAAAAGTTACATTGTCACACGTTGCGTTTTCCTTTGGATGAACACGAAGCACCCCATAAATTGGTGACCCCGACGTGATCTGCCATATAGAGAAGATAGTGTAGTTCAAGTGAACCTAAAAGTTTTTTTCACGATGCCCAACACCAACAGTAACGATAGCAACAACATCGCCAGAAACCTCGCGGAAGGAATGGACAGTGCCGAGCTACACCGCGTGACTGTCCGCGTACCGCCGTTTTGGAGTGATAAGGTAGGACTTTGGTTTTGTCAATTGGAGGCACAGTTTAGTATCGCCGGCGTAAGGCAGGACTCGACAAAATTCGGTTACGTCGTTGGAAATTTAGATAGCCGATACATCGAAGAAGTAGAAGATATTATTTGCAACCCACCTGCGCAAAACCAGTACGAGACTTTGAAAAGTGAACTCATCAAACGTTTGTCGGACTCTAGCAGCCAACGAGTACGAAAACTATTAGAAAGTGAAGAGTTAGGGGACCGCACACCTTCCCAATTTCTACATTTACGAAAACTGGCAGGTAAAAATGTGAACGAAGAATTTATAAAAACCCTGTGGATGAACCGGTTGCCGACGCCTACACAACGAGTGCTCGCAGCATCGCTGCAACAACCCTTGGCCGATATGGCTGAAGTGGCGGACCGAGTACACGAAATCGGACCATCGAGGAGCCAAGTATCTCAAGTGAATGAAAGATGTGCCCGTCTCAAGTCAAACACCAGCTAATAGCGAATTGGCTACCCTACGTGAAGAAATGCAGCAACTGCGTCTCGCTCTTCAGGAGATAAGAGCAGAAAAGGAGCAACGCCGCCGGTGGTCGCGACCACGAAGTCGTTCCCGCGACCAAAGCAATGCAAGGGGACGTAGTGCTAGTGGCGATCGCGATACGTGCTGGTACCATCACCGTTTCGGTGCTAACGCTACAAAATGCCGCACGCCATGCAAATACTCTCAGGGAAACGAGTAGGCCCGTCGTTGATAGCGGCTATCAACAACGGTCACACAGCGCGCCGAATCTTCGTCACCGACGCGAGATCAAAAGTTTCCTTTTTGGTAGACACTGGTGCTGACCTCTGTGTGTATCCGCGCACGCGAACTAGCGGTCGCAACCGAAGGAGCGACTATACGTTATACGCCGCGAATGGAACGCCGATTTCCCACATACGGAATGGTGACATTAGACCTCGATCTACGACTTCGACGTAGTTTTAAGTGGAGTTTTGTGATTGCGGACGTAGACAGACCCATCATCGGAGTGGATTTTTTAGCATTCTACGGTCTACTGGTCGACGTTCGCGCGCGACGACTCGTAGACAAAATGACTTTGCTAGCGTCGAGAGGAGAAAACGTACTAGGCGAAGTGCAGTCCATAAAAACGGTAATAGTAGAGTCGGAGTTTTCTCGTTTACTAAGCGAATACCCCGATATTACGCGACCCGCCGGAACAGTAAGCCAAACGGTTAAACACGACGTCGTGCACCATATCACCACAATACCCGGACCACCAGTTTTGTGTCGCCCCTGATCGTCTGAAGTCAGCGAAAACAGATTTCGAGGTGATGTTGCAGCAAGGAATCATCCGCGCATCAAAAAGCCCATGGGCATCTGCTTTACATGTGGTACCGAAGAAGGATGACGCATGGAGACCCTGCGGAGATTATAGGGCTTTGAACGCCAGGACAATTCCAGACCGATATCCTCTACCGCACATCGAAGATTTCGCACAGTCTCTATACGGTAAATCAATATTCTCCAAGATAGATCTGACTAGAGCTTACCACCAGATCCCCGTAGCACCAGAAGACGTAAGTAGATAAGCAAAAGGAGATCCAGCTCAATTTGCATAATTTAGGGGTGAAGAAGATGTTCAGGGCAGATTCCCTCGAAGATGTGTCATTTTCCCGCGAAGAGGGGTTTTAGATTTTGAAGAAGATGTAAAAAAAGAAGACGTTCCGGGCAGATTCCCGCTAGGAGGGGTCCTTTAAAGAAGATGTAAATAAAAAGAAGAGGTTCGCGGCAGATTCCCGCAAATAAGGGTTATTTCGAGGCAGATTCCATCGAAGAGCGGTCATTTAGATTTTGAAGATGTATTTGTGGTAAATAGGTTCATCAATAAATCATCTTCGTTATTTGAGCCACCCTATATTTATATAATGCACGGGTACAGCACAGCGCTAGCTCAAGCGAGGGCTACCTTTCACGAGACGACTCGCGGCCGGAGAACGCGGTACCGGCCGGCAGTGACCTAAAACGATACGCCGGCCGTCTAAAATATATTATGTAATGCCTTTGCTAGGTTCCACTATTGATTCTTTTAATTTCCGATGTGTGGTTTAGAAAGGAAATATTTTTTAAACTACTTAAAGTAATGTATAGTAGCAACTAACTTTAATTTAGATTTTTTTGAAAAGTATCTGCATTCTCTATGCAAACTAATGAGCCTATTTGAGTGCAATACGTTTGACTTTCAAAAAAATGTCTTGTGTATATATACAGATAAGTGTTTCTATTGGAATCAAAGTTTTATGAAGTATAACAATTATCTTGAATATGTATGTAAGTAAATAGAATCTTTATATACTTCTTTTATATTTGAATATCAGAATCATATTGTGTTTTACGTTATATTTTATCTAAACTCAATTCAACTGATTCGAATAGTGGAATATTCAATAGCAATGAAGATTGTCGTTTTTTAAGACAAAAGTTAGATAGATTGTGATAGTAATTACCGATGTTTAGCTAATTATTTTGGAAGGAATTATGAATTATTGTCTGTTATTGAAACAAAGTGAGGATACTACATTTTATGAAAATTCTCATTTATGTTAACTAAGAAATAACGTATTATATTTTTAAGAACATTTCAATTTTTGAAGGATTAAGAGAAAATGTTTTTTCTCTCATTTGAGGTTTTTCTATGTGACATATACAACTGTTAAAACCGTGATAACATGTTACACATTCTTTTAGTGTCTTCAGCGTATCATAAAAGAAAATTATGTTATATTTAGCTTATTATATTAAATTGTATGAAAAATTATCTAAAAGATAACGTATTATATTTTTATGAAATATTTAAAGGTTTCTTAAGCAAAATTTGTTGCTCTCCCATTTGAAGTATGTCGATGTATAAAAATAAAACATAAATAATTATTCGTGATTTAAAATTTATTTACGAATTACATAGGTACATTTCATCCACAACTGTTAAAAAACTATGATAAATATTACACTTTTTCTTTAGTGTTTTCAGCTTATCAAATAGTATTTAAAATATTGAAACTATTTTGATAATATATAATAAGTACCTTTACGTTTCATACTTAACATGTTATCATAAATTGTATTAGGGCACTTAAAGTCTATAACGTCGAAATCACAAATATAACAATGAGCGTGACCTTTAGTATGATTATGGATTAGATCTAGATGGGCTAGTGGTTCATCTTTGTGCAACTTATAATATTTTACTGACGTATTTAACCAATCTTCTAATAAATGTTTTTTACACTTTAAACATAACAATAAAACTGGTAATAAATTTAATGGGCCCCATAATAAAAATATTAAACTGCAAGAAGTAAAATCAGAATCACAAAATGCGTCTTCTACGGTCCGTATATAGGTCTGGTATGACACGAACATATCCGACTTAGATATATAGAAGTTTTCACAAAATTCTGTCTTGAAAGCTGTCGTTACATCCGATGTTGAAGACAATAATTTAAATCTTGGCAATACTTCGCAACGATCTAAAACAAAATACGTAATTAAACTCATTTCACATATTTGAACACTTGAATCACCTTCTTCTTCTGTGAAGTTAATCATTTTACTTTTCAGTTAGTAGTTGGACATTTATGTAGCAATTTCCACTGTAATTAAATTATATAATAAGATCACTAAATAGAAAGGCGTTGCATAGTAAATTAATATCTCTGTAAATAGATATAGCAATTAACCTCATTTGAGTTGAATATGCATTTCTGTGGTGGGACATTACTGTAAACGTGATGTAATAATGAAGGTGTTTCCACGCACCTTTCTCTTATTTTCCCATATAAAAGGAAATGTCGGGAGTACCAGTGTCATGCTGTATTAGTTTCTGAAAAACAACGCAAGTTCTATACAAATCGCACTAGTAAGTATAACCTTTTTATCTCAAATCTAGTTTCTAAAAATTTTTGTTTGTTCATAGAGATGGATTTAAACGAAATTAATGAAAAGTCGCTTTTAGCTTTTAAACCGCTAAAAGAATTAGAAATTGGGCGAAAATATCCAGTCTGGAAAATTAGAAAGGTGTCTACAAAGTATGGAGACAATTTAATGGCCGAGTTGGATGAATGTCAGGTGTTTATACCAAGAAGACTGTTCGAGCAACTGGACAAACATTTGGAAGAATTCGAGGATAAACAGTACTGCCTCATCAGCAAGGGTGAGATAAATATTGATACTGGGAACTATAAAAACTCAAAAACCGTAGCCATAGAATTTGTTAAAAATATTTAGTGCACATTTTAACACGATAAAACCCTGTATGACGTCTATTTTTATTTTTCAGTATAAAAACATATCTAATATAACATATAATGTAACATCAGCATTCCTGTCGCATCATCTTATTCCAGAAATGCTGATGCATATAATTTATTCCTATTTAAAGCCGCTAGATCATATGTACAGTACAATATAGTTTTTGCTTCATGTTTGTCAACTTACGTTGATGCTAATAAAAAGTTATAAACATCCAGACCTATAATTTTATTGGCGCAGTCGGTAGGATCGTAGTGCCTTTTGGATCCAGTTGTGAATCTTCAGAAATCCAGTCCAGGAGGTTTCTGTCTCAACAGTTCAACTACGATACGAACAATTAGAAAAGGTCTTTTTGGCACCAGTTGAAGAAATTTATTGGGCGAGACTACTAGTGGTTGGTTAACTAGTCTCAACAGCTGTAAGTACCAGATTTGCAAATTCTTATTGTCCGCTTATTCCTCAAAGTGAACTGACAAGTTTAACTCTCAGAAAAGCGTATAGTTTAGAAAATTTGATTCAAATTGCAAAGTNTCAAAAGCATCTCACAACTTTCATTTATTTATGTATCATAATTCAGGTGAATGCAACATTGCACAGATATACTGTAATGTTTCATGCTTAGTGGGGTGTTTCCACCAAGAAGACTGTTTGAGCATTTGGAAGAATTCGAGGATAAACAGTACTGCCTCATCAGCAAGGGTGAGATAAACATTGATACTGGGAACTATAAAAACTCAAAAACCGTCGGTATTAGAATTTGTTAAAATTATTTAGTACACATTTTAACACGATAATACGTAATATGGTAATAACACTTTAAGTGATGACATAGTTAAAAACATCCGAGAAATTTTTTAATTTTAAGTCAGACTAAAAATGTTAAAAATGAGGATTTACTGAAATATATTAATTATTGTAATGGAAATATTAATTTAATGAATTTTTTCTCTTCTCTTTTAAACGTTGACTCTAATATTTCACTAAAAATTAAACTTCAGACAAACATCGATCACTTGAGAAAATATAGTCGTTAAGATCTATGGATAATATTTATTTGGAAGGCGGGTTATCCGAAAATAAAAAATTAAAATCGTCTCTAAAGCGAAGTCATGGAATTCAGTGGGAAGATGGAAAATCTGCTTTTTCAAGTCGAATACGAAGCGGTTTAATATTAATATTTTACATAGCGA